TATCCTCCGGGAACAAATGTCGTATGAACCAATTGTTGGTCACCGGCTTCCATGGGACTGCATTTCCTCACGATGTTCCACTGCCTTGTGGATCAGACCTTCAGGTCGAAGGCTCCGGGTGTGGCCCCCTAAGGAAATCACCTGCTTCGGTTTGAGCACCCGGGCAGTATCACAGCCCTCACACATATCAAATGAGATACGTGTGGCGCATATGTATTTGGTGCCTCTTTGTACCATTATCTATGTGTTGAAATAAATAAATAAAATGTGATACTTCCTAAATATTAAAAAATAAATATTCTGAAAAGAGAGTACAATATTTCACAGAATATATTGTGTTCCATATTTCTATCAAATAAATAGATACAAAGTCTAATTTCTATTCACTCATGTCAGTTTATAAATTAAGAAGACTCAATAGATTTACGACGCTATTATTGTTGAAAATAGCAATACTAATATTTAGCGTGTATAATTATTTTATAGTAATAAAGATCATTTAATTGTCAGTATCTAACTAATTACTGTCTGTGCAGAGCGCTTAGCATCTTTCTACTCACAAACGTCAGCACAATGCTTATATATATATATATATATATATATATATATATATATATGTTTGTTTACCAGCATAATGATTAATCCTGCTGTTTTTACAAACGACGTTCTGATGGTTTAGATAAAACAATAACATTTTGAGTCAATTAATTAAGCCAATATCTTTCTTGGTCTTTTTAGTACCATCACGTTGGAAAATTTTAGTGTTTATTTTATGCTTGACGGATTTAGAGATTAAAATAGATCGATAACCAGTTTAAATTTCATAATTGATAAGAAAGAATGCCTGAAGATAGTTTGATTCCTATTTTTTCACCCATACGTTTGGAACAGTGTCAATTAATTCCGGAGTTAGAATAATTTTAATATATATTATAGTTAACGATGGTTTTTCCTGATTGACAATAACGAATAAATTTAATATATTTTTTGAAGACATTAAGTGAAAACTCTTCAAATTTAAATGTTTTATCGTCATTCTGTAAGTATCGACGACTCTATAATTGAGTGAACTCGAAAAATTTACATCTAGTGGTAAGTACTTCACATTTTAAATAATGGATCAGAATCCAGTGGTTCAAAATTTGATATTCATTTGATCATTGATATTATGTGCTCTCTATAGTGCGTTATCAGTGGGATTTTCTTACTCCTAACAGGTTTCTATTTATCATAACTGATCACAAACACATAGTAAGTGCATTTCAAAGTAATTAATTGAGGAAACCGTAGTTGTTGTTTCTTTTGGATGGTACATCCTTAATTGGATCTATCTATTACATTTTATTTTATCGAGTGGAGTTATGTCACATTTAATGGTATTATTATAAGGCAGTATAATTGTTTATCCATTTCAATTCCATATGTTATTCGATTGTCAAAAAGAACGTAGATGTTTGCGCTTCTAATCATGTGCCAATAAGCTGATTTGTTCAGTTTTATTTATCTTTACTGAATGAAATTTTCAAATAGACATAATCAACCACTTTTTATCTTTGAATAATGAATACACATTCAGGAAATAACTGAAATACGGTTTTACATGCGACTGATGAAATTATTCTGTATGTATATATATATTGTCTAGATGGTGTACATTATCAAAATATTATGAAAATGTAAATATATATGGTTTAGACTGTTTATAGACAATCATCACTTAATTATTTTTTATTTATTAAAAGAATAAGAATATGATGCTACAAAAATACCGTTACTGAATAGATAATAATTGTAATGCTGGACAGTCAAACTATTATTATTATTATTTCAACACATAAATATTGGTACAAGAGGGCATTAAATATATATGCGCCATACCATATTTGTGCGTGGGCTGTGATACTGCCCAGGTGCCCAGACGGGAGCACATGGTTTTCTTAGAGGGCCACACTCGGAGTCTTCGACCTTAAGGTCTGATCCACAAGGCAGTGGAACATCGTGAGGAAATGCAGTCCCATGGAAGCCGGTGACCAACAATTGGTTCATACGACATTTGTTCCCGGAGGATACTGGAGCCCATGTGCACCATTGGTTTGGAATCCAGTTAAAGTGCCGGATATTCGCTTTTCGTCCTCTCATTTTCGTAAACAACACCCCCGCCATGAGAAGGCAGTGAGTAGGACTTCCCTGACAGAGGCTGTATACGCGTGGCCGTGTGAGAGCATTTCGAGAGGGAAGGCGAACCCACCCCACTCTCGGTCATACCAGGGCATGAATTGACCAAATCGCTAAGTGAAAGTGCTAGTTAATATAATAACGTACAATTTATGAACGTTTGCAGTGTTGTTGAATTAAAAAAACAGTTGCATATTGGAGTTAGTGAACGAAATTATGTTACCTTAATCTACCTGTTAAAATGAAAATCTTTTACTTTTATGATTAAATCTAGTAACCAATAAACTGTGATACTGAACAATTTTAATCAGTTTAATCACATATTTACAGATGGTAGATTATCACAGTGATTAACATTTAATGAAGTAACTGATTTTTGATTGCCATGATTAAAAGTATGGATGGATATAGTCAATGTAAATTGGTTTAATGACATATCATTTTAAATTATCAAAATCTTGAACTGTTGATTTGTTTAGTGAGCAGTTGAGTGAACTGCATAGTTACAGTAATCTAAGAATAAATAAATATTTTAGATCTATGTACAGCGTTGTTCAATGGAAGATTAAGTTTAAAAGATAAGTACTTATGATCAGTAAAATTATATATTTGGAGAAATAATATCGTTTCTTTAAATAAACAAATTATTATTGACCTTTATTTTGTTGAGGAGATGAATAAAAATTGTAGTCACGAGATCAGTATTTTTCACTTATTAAATTGGATAAAATATGAAGCGTGGCCCTATGAAAAGGAATAAGGTCATCATGAAAGCTGTTTTAGAGTCAGTGTGTGTTATTAATGATCAGAAACTGGTGAGCATAGATATACTGCCCTACGTCAGTGGTTGCCATCGAAATAAACGTAGAGTTCTCAGTTTTATAATTGCTTTAACAAAGTTTTGTCTCAGTTTGATTTGAAGAGATAGCTCGCGAATCAGCAGAACCTACTTCCAGAATTATTGGTGATGACTTTAACCCCGGACACATCATAACTTTACGTTTGACAACTTTAAATTGAAGCATCACTAAGTCATCCGACAGCTATTTAATAGTAATTATCCGAGTACAGTTCACGTGAAATTGTTTGTGAAGAATCGTAAAATTTGTAAGCTTTGTTTGTCATGCCTTTAAGTGACCAGCTTACAGATTAGTGCCTCAAGGTCTAATTATAAATATTCATGGCTGGACCTCAGCGATAATAGAGGTGAAAAAGTTATACGCATCTGACATTTTTTTATAGTTGACTAATACCACAAAAAGGAATGAATGCGATAAGGCGTCTTTGAGATTTACGAATCAGTAGTTTGATCTTTAATTTCTGAGTTATTTGTGCATACTGTTAAGAAATTTCGTGCTAAGACAAAACGGTCGACTTCAATTTTATACCTGCTGGTATCAGCCCTATCCATCTAACTTTTGCATCCTGTACAACTAAAAATAAATTTGTTGATTCATTCGATTTTCATTGAGTTTATACTGGTTAATGGAAAAATAGTTGAACAATAATAAATAGACTAACAATTAAATGCATTTATATATGAGCATGATCTCAGTGAAATAAAAGGAACATGTACCTAAAATGACAAAACAGTTTATCGAAGATCAAAATTATCACCCTACGGTAGAACAACATGAGTAACATGATATGTGACTCTAGTGTTTCAGTATAAAATTGTACATAATATGTCAGTTTTTTAATGTAGAATGCAAGATGAATTTATTTGCATAAAAATATCGCCTAATAAAAATGAAATTAGATTATACATGAAGATCATTCATTAATTGCTAATCGTTATTAGTTCATTTTATTAAAAGTTTACTTCGAATGTACTTACAGTTATTTAATCGATAATTATCGATTTCTTTAAGTTCAAAAATTATCTCTCAAGTACACTTAACATGCGATAGAAATAAGATTGTTTAAACTGTAATCTAATAAATTAAATGTATAAATTGCCTGTTTACATATTGATAAAATGAAATACCAAAAAAAAAGCAACATAAACCTTAAGGAAATCTCATGACAGAAATGATATCTAATAAATTTCTTTCCAAACCTTGGGAAGTTTTTAAATCGATAAATATTTTCATATGAATGTGATCGTGACGTACTACTATGACTATTCTTGAAATTTTATTCAATTCATTAAATGTACTTGTAGTTATTATAAAGAGATAATTTAGTTTGTTTATAATTCTTTGAAGATATTTCGATAGAACAATGAGAAGACAGAGTTTATCTGAAAAATGTGATGGATTAGCGCTATACATTTTAAACAATCTGCTCACACATATACTTGTCAAGGCATTTTTATATGAAAATTAATAAAGGTCAATTAAATAAAAGTTCAAATAAAATAACAAAGGGGGGGAGAAAGAATAGCCTTGGCTATTCGTAAATTTAAACCCCCCTCATGTGTACAAAAACAATTTGTCTTAACCTTGAATTTAGCTTGGTAATCCTTAAGTCATTCTATGGCCTAGGATAACGAGACAATTTTTTATTCTTTCTCCCCCCTCTGTTATTTTATTTGAACTTTTATTTAATTGACCTTTATTAATTTTCATATAAAAATGCCTTGACAAGTATATGTGTGAGCAGATTGTTTAAAATGTATAGCGCTAATCCATCACATTTTTCAGATAAACTCCGTCTTTGCATTGTTCTATCGAAATTTATAAAAGGGACTAATTGCTTTAAATTCTTTGAAGACAGACGATAAGCTGATTTCTAGTCATTATTCCAATAGCTTTGAGCTGTATAATATACGGATAGAATTGGAAATTTCGATCAAATAACATGACTTCAAAATGAACACTTACTTCGTTTTCCCATGATGTTCTCGAATAGTTTTTATTCATTGTATATGAACAATATATTTGCAAACTTTTATTCTAGTTTGTACTTTGAATCATTTAAAAGGTTACTAGAAATTCCGTATAATTTGCTTTAAATGTTCATAAATGATTTAGTATACTAGAAATTGTAAATGAATTCGATATCTATAAATCATTTCATAGTTCAGCCCTTATTGGCTAATAATATCAACCAATCAAATGTTATTAATAAATATTAAATGTAGAAACGCCCCAGTTTGATTGCAGATGTGTTTACTTATACCTTATAAAACATAATTTCTACTATTCAAACGAAACTACATCTTGTATTGATTTTATGCTTTGATTTATATTAATTTATAATAGCCATTAAATATGAACACAATAAAATTATCAAGTAAATTAACATCAGAATGGTTGCGTAACGTCCTTATGTTTTGATGTGATCATTCACTGACATGAAAAATGAATACGTTTTGTATCATTATTGAAGCTCATTAATCCAATTGAATGCAGTGAATACTTAAAAAAGTTTAATAAAGTTTTGTATTGATTTATAAAGTTTGTCTATTTGTATATTTCATAAACTGACCCATAGTACATGAACACATGTTCCCACGATATGAGGTACATTTCTCAGTCTGTAATCTATAAGCTGAACTTACCATTTATAGTACACATGATCTAACACATATATGAACAGATAGCTCATGTTTTAGATAAATTATGTAGTATAAAAATTCCATTATCATCAAGGTGTTCTACATTAAAATCATAGAGCAACTTGTAAAGCTTGGCATTTAAAAATTCCAATTCTGATTTATTACCATGGAGAAAATTCCATATTTCCATTTATTGCACGTAAAGAAAATTTATAAGTATCTATGATAATCCAATAATGATATTGATATCATTCAGAAAACGTAGTTGAATAGTGTCATATTCAGTTTCCAAATCAGTAACTGATGCAGTAAATACTCATTTTCAAAATACCAATTTGGTTTAGTACTGAGTATTATTTAGAAATAAAATTTCTAAACACTATTTCAAGTTCTTTCATATAAACTAGATTTTAATAAATTCGGGGTTGATATTTATATAGTCTGATTTAATGGAACATAACTCCAAATAAACAAAATGTTTGACCTTACTGAAAAGTACAACAGATGAGTTGTTAAATTTAGAATAGTACAAAACATGGATGATTATCGACGATCGTAGATTTAGAAAACAGTCATCTTCAGAAAGAAACAGTTTGTAGCTTGATTTTCTTTTGTGCTATTTGGCTGATAAAAGTGGTGTTTCTGTAAACGTCTTACTTTATACAACATAATTATAACATATAATGTTACATCTAATAATACACAGTATCTTGTTTCGTGCTAATGTATCTTACTATCTGATAAAAAGAGACTGAATATTTTTTAGCAAATGAAGAGATAGCTGTGTAGCGGTCGTTAAGTGGTTAAGGTACTTGGTTCTTAGCCACTAAGCTGCATGCTCGAGATCCAATCCACCTACCTGACTTCAAACGACCAAGTATGACAATTTCTCACACTGAAAGTGTGTCTTGAAGTCAAGGAAAATAATCTGTACCCGGTAGCTAAGTTAATCAAAATAACTGACCAATAAAATCCAAATAAACGCTTGGTAAATTTCGATAATGCAATGAGAAGACGACGTTTATCAGAATTATGTGATATATTTGCACAAAACATTTCGAACAATCTGATCACATATATACTTGATAAGAACATTTATGTATGAAAATCAAAAGGTCAACTAGACAGGTTAAGGGTAAGCCATAACAAAGGAAAAATATTAAAGTACACAAAAACAAATGTGGTTACCACTCTGGATAGTAAATCAGTATTACCAGGGTAGGTTAAGTGTAAGCACAAATTGTTTTTGAACAAATAAAGGGGGTTTCAATTTCCGTATAGACAAGGCTTCAATAAACCTTAGTATACGTCCTTGAAGGCTTTTGTACAACACAACAAATGCTGATTTGATGCCAACCTTATGACCAGTCTCAATCAAATGTTTCGCAATGGATGATGATGTTTGTCAATCCTGTGATCTTATTTCACCATTGGAATCCATTTGTTTCTGCAACCATTTTGGTATATGTCCATGTACCCTTAATTGCAAATCACGATTTCTCCTCCCTATGTACGTGTTTCCACACTTACATGTAAATCGATAGACACAATGGGATGTGAAACAATCACTTTCGTGCTGTTTGGACTTTTTATGAAACATAGACCTTGTCTTTTTGATAATGACAAGTCGGGCTGCATAAAATGTCCGTTTGATAGCTAATTTAAGTCTCTGTTTCAACATGAGACTATTTGTGTCACCTCTGAATGATAATGTAATATAGACTCGCTTTTTGGGTGCCAGAAGCGTCATAGGTCTAATCGTCTTGCAACCCTTCTAGTGGTTTATGAATTTCAAAGAATAACTATTATTCATTAACGTATCAGTCAAGAGCTTCGTCTCTACTTCAGTAGTATCACAAGTACAAACACGATTGACTTTATTGAAGCCTTGTCTATACGGAAATTGAAACCCCCTTTATTTGTTCAAAAACAATTTGTGCTTACACTTAACCTACCCTGGTAATACTGATTTACTATCCAGAGTGGTAACCACATTTGTTTTTGTGTACTTTAATATTTTTCCTTTGTTATGGCTTACCCTTAACCTGTCTAGTTGACCTTTTGATTTTCATACATAAATGTTCTTATCAAGTATATATGTGATCAGATTGTTCGAAATGTTTTGTGCAAATATATCACATAATTCTGATAAACGTCGTCTTCTCATTGCATTATCGAAATTTATCAAAGGGACTAATTGTTTTAAACCCTTGGTAATTCGCAAAAAAAGGTTTTTCAATAACCGGACATTGTGTAAATTGAATTACAAAAACAGAGCGTTTTATTACGTTAAATTACGTTATGTAAAAGTAGTGCTATATCTTCTGTTATGCTTGTGAAAATTCTTTAATATATAATACACAATTTTCAATACTCCTAAAACTCATAGACGTTTTAAAAATATATTTTGAATTTATTTCTTGCTTTATATGAAGCAACTAGTTACTTACAAAAAGATAATAATTATTTTAACCACAATACTTCTATAAAACTAAATATTTTTTTTAACGTCAAATATATTGCTGTTATATTCCGATGAGTAGAAAAATTGTATTTCTGACATTTCGTGACTTAATGCAATCCCCTTCTTTACAGTTAAAGTGGCTTATATTAAGTCATGAAACGTCAGAAATACAATTTTTCTACTCATCAGGATATAGCAAAAATATTTTTATATTAACTTTCTACCCAATGTTCAATTTATTTGAAACTATCAAGTTCAACCTTGATATTGTTACCCAAGTAATTTTTATTATCGGTAAATTGATATGCCTTTTACTAAACATCATACTTTCTTAGAACGCAATATTAATCATAGTAAGTTTAATAAGATGAAAATGATCTATTCGAGGCTAAATTTTCTGATGTAGCACAAAGTTAACACTTATAACGTTGAATAGATTCGGTTACAATGTTTGATCTTCGACAGTATAGAATAGTATTTATTCAGATTCATTCATTACTTCTACATTTTATAAATGTTACAATGTAGTTTTCATACCACGATCAAAGTATTCTAGAAATATAAGGAAAAGTAGCAGGCTTTTCACAATCAGACTTATAGCATTTACAAGATGTATGACTATCTACTTGACATAATAGAATATATAATGATATGTCTACCTGATAATGTGTAGACATGTATCTAAACAATTCTCGGTTTACAGTAAACTTAACCTTTATTTTACATACAATTAATCACAAATTGCAAAGAAACAACGACGGTAAATGCCCTTTGACATGATTGCTACTATATCAAATCAACATTGCAAATGTGCAACCTCAAAACAATGTATGTGCTAAATCAGTTCAGAATAAAATATCAGATGTTACAGATGTTAGATGTACTATAACACATTCTATTGCCAAGCCTTCTCTTTATAAAGTCATTTGCTAGGTGATTATTTATTTACGTAATTGTTCATTGAAATTCAATTTTATATTAGGTAAACAGACGATTATATTTTGATTGCCGAAATGATATGAAGTCATTTAGTTATTAGTTTTCTAATCTGATATATGACGATATCGGAAAAAAGACAAACAAAATGATATTTTTTAAATTGAAATCATGAGTCAATTGAAGCTAGACCACCATGGAAAACCTGGAAGCACTGGAATGCCGTTTCGCCGTAGTATGGGACTCCTCAGCAGTGTGCATCCACGATCCCGCACCCCGCGAGATTCGAACCCAGAACCTGTCAATCTCGCGCCAGGCGCCGAGGAGTCCCATTCTAGGATGAAACGGTCGTCCAGTGCTTCTAGGTTTTCCATGGTGGTCTAACATCAATTGGTTCATGATCTCAATCAAAAACTTAACAATCTCCACAACCCCTAAATTGATAATTACCATGTACTCACTAGTGACTAGCTTCGTGAGAAAATTCTCGGAATTCTAGTGAGAAGCCGTGACCAGTGGAGCTAATCTGTGTCAGGTAGAAACAGGTGTCTACCTCAGTACAATGGAAGATGGTCGCGCAATTTCGTGGATTGGTTGAGGTTATACATTAACACCACTCGATCCCGGCTCAGTGGTCTAGAGGTTAAGTGCTTGGTGCGAGACTAATAGGTCCTGGGTTCGAATCTCGCGGGAGGCGGGATCATGGATGCCCACTGCTGAGGAGTCCCATACTAGGACGAAACGGCCGTCCAGTGCTTCTAGGTTTTCCATGGTGGTCTAGATTCAATCGACTCATGATTTCAATAAAAAAAACTTAACAATCTCCACAACCCCTAAACTGAAAGTGATATTTGCTCTAGCCAACTAATGAATCATCAATAGTCAGTGATCTTGTTGTTTGAGTACTTGATATTTTTATCTTGGTATAACACTACATATATAAATCAACTCAATTACATATA